AGGTGAAGTGTCTTGCCCAAGGACACAACGACCGAGACTGTCCGAGTCGGGGCTCGAACTCCCAACTCTTGAGCCACGATCGCCCCATGTAAAACTTGAAAAGACTTTTAAAAAGGGTTTTAGTGACACTAATTTGAAGGCTCTCAGGAGCAGGAGTCACACAACAGGAATTGTGATCTAACCGGATACTGATCCAACTGCAAACTCATTGTGTGGTTACTGATCCTTTGAGTCACTGACACTCCTTCCTTACAGTTTTACATAACAGGGAGATAGTGTTGTGTAAAATGGTAAGGCAGCTCTGTCAAGTTTAGTTAATATACACCTCATGTTATCTCAGTTTACATTCTCACACATGTGTAATTATACTTTTAAATTTCACATTTAGATTTGCTTTTTTAGCTTTTTGACCCAAGTTTTTATTGTTTGAAAACTTTTAGTTGTAGTTTATTTTTCAAGATGGGTATTACAACATAACTACACTATTCTTGACTCCAGAACTGCAAGGATTAGACAGGTTATTGAATAACAACTATTAAATTAATCTCAAACTGCTGCTGATAATTGATCAATTAGTTTGAGTGCAAGACCATGTTTGAACCACTACAAATTTTTTAAGGGTGGAGAGCATTTTTTTTTAAAGCTATGGTTTTAAATATTAATGTGATTGAAACCTTGGTGTGACACGCTGTTTCTCTTGGTCTTGACAGGTTGGCAGGATGGGCGAGCGAGGCGTCAGTGGCCCCGTGGCTGCGATCTCTCCAGTGCAGCAGATGCTGGCCTCTGGCACTGGAGCCCTCATCACATCTCTGTTTGGTGAGAAAGAAACAAAGGCTGGAGTTGTTCTCTGTGTCTTAGCATTGGCACTCAGTTAATTGTTTATCAGCTCTTGTGTGGTTGTGATAACTAAATTCATTCTTGTGTTTGCAGTCACGCCACTAGACGTTGTGAAGATCAGGCTGCAGGCTCAGCAGACACCGTTCCACCAAGGTAGGACCTCTTGTTCTTTTGTGGTTTACTGAGTTTGCTTTTAACATGTTTTACTGTGATGCTTTGCTCTTAACATTAACCCCACTAAACCTGACCTCCCGTGTGTGTGCTCTGTCCTTCGTTTCATAGCTTCAGCGTCTTTTTCTGCTCCGTGGGACGGTGTCTCACGTCATTCCAAGTGTAAGTATTTGCCCCGCCGTTGCTAACACTCGATCGGATGTAGCTTAGCATACCTGGTTTTGTGCTTTAAAAACAAATGTCTTCTGGTAGTGAAAACAGAAAGTTCCCCTTGTAAATACATTCATGTTTTTCTTTTAGACTTTATTTGAAAGGTTTCTCAGTAATCGGCACTAAATAAACAGGCAGAGGCAAGGACCGGACTATGTTATTTACAGAGCAGCTGTGCGGTCATTGCTCTTGCCTGTATTATTAATGACATTTCTCTCCTGTGTGAAGGCTTGTGTGACTCAGTTTAGGAAACACTTGTAGCTTCACATTGCTATTGTGAGATGTGCTAATTTTGTTTTTTAATCATAGTTGTTTTTTGTTTGTTTGTCTTTTTAATAGCTAATAATCTGAGTGTGGTTTTCTCTTCCTCTGACCACCTCATGTTCCTCCTCACAGGGAAGTGTTTCCTGTATTGTAATGGGCTGATGGATCACATCTATGTCTGTCAGAATAGAACCAGTTGCACCAGCTGGTACAAAAAGCCGACTCAGTTCAGCGGGACTCTTGTGAGTAGTCATGCATTAGTGGCTTTGATTTTCCTACAATTGGTTTACAATTAACATCATATAAGCTCTCTTTTTTGTTTTTTGTTTGTGCGACAGGATGCATTTGTGAAAATCACTCGCCATGAAGGTCTTCGCTCTCTGTGGAGCGGGCTACCACCAACTTTGTGAGTAACATCTGGTAAAGTTTCAGTACTCGTAGAATAGACACAGAACTGAAGTGTAAGGAGACCTAAATTCAGAATTAAATTTCTTAAACTTTAAGTAAGTACAGTTTTATTTTGAAAGAGTGTAGTATTTGGAGCATTGCACTCAATGTGCATAGCTTCAACTGAATTAAATATCACTGAGTTTTAGAGAAAAGGAAACCGGGAGTGTCTTGGAGAAAAGAGAAGAAATTAAAAAACAAAAAAATAAATAGCAGAACTTGGTCTAATAAAGTACTTCCTTGCGCCAAAGCTGCATTTTAGTACCTCTGACACGTCAGTCTCATTCTAGTAAAAAATTTGCATATTATTATAATATTATGAGAACTTTCCATTGATATGGCGCAAATTGTACAGTTCCTCTGTTCGAAACCTTTGTTTGTTTATGTTAACAGGGTGATGGCAGTACCTGCCACTGTCATTTACTTCACCTGCTACGACCAGTTGCGGGACTTCCTGAGATTCGGTGTGGGTCTTCAGGGCAGTCATGTCCCTCTTGTTGCTGGGGGTCTTGCCAGATGTAAGTGCATGGAATAAAACAAAAACTCCCCACACAGATATCACAGCAAAGTACTGACAGTGCTCTTTAAGTGAAACCTTTGTGTCTGTTTTGCAGTGGGAGCCGTGACAGTGATTTGCCCACTGGAACTGGTCAGGACCAAGATGCAGTCCCGTCAGCTGTCCTACAGCGAGCTGCGGACATGTATCCGCTCTGCTGTGGCCCAGAATGGACTTCTGTCCCTGTGGAGGGGCTGGGGACCCACTGTTCTCAGAGATGTACCCTTTTCAGGTGAGACACATCATGTTGATTACACTTATCATGCCAGTGCGTAGAGATGGGTATTGATAAGATTTTCACGATTCCGATTCTTTATCGATTCTCTTATTGATTCTTTTTTAAAAAGGAGAACACTAAGGTCAATTAGCTTAGAACTTTGTTTTATATCTTCTCTTTGAACAAGATAGAAATTTAGGAGTAACATGGCCTTACAAACCCAACAGTGAGATCTTAAGAGATCCCCAGCCTACAGCTCTTCAATGGGGTGTCACAGGGTCCCCAGGAAAAAAATTGTAAATGTAAAATAATAAAATAAATATTCTTCTGTAGCAATAACAAAGTATAACATCAATTATTCTGTAGCAATTACACAAGAATATCCAGTAATGTCCCTGCCTACAATTAAACACATTCACTTACCGAAAATCGGGGGCATCTGCTGTGGCAAATGAGTGCAAGCCTTGGACCACAAACTAAGTCACTGCTCGGTGACATTCGTCTGTCCTGGCCTGAAAGGAGACGCTACCGGTAGACTGCAGCGAGAACTGCCAGCATCTGAGCCAGACTAAGTCTGACTCTCTCATCACGGTCACCTAAATGCACAGTAATGGCAGGTCGCGCTAACACAATATGCACTGTTAGTTGATTATTTACCTGCTACCTTACCTGTTACCGCTGCTGCTGGGTTGAGATTCACGAGTCCGGAGCGGAATTAAAAACACGACATTCGTTTAAGGTCATCGTGTGTTTTGTGAGCAAATGCTTTTGCATATTCGTAGTGTTTCCTCCCTTAAATGAAATATCTACTTTGCAAGTATTGCAAGTTGCCCTGTTGTCATCCGTTCTCGTAAAGTATAACCAAACTTTTGAGCGTTTGAGCCGCTTACGCGCCATGTTTCCTGCCAGGTAAATGACGCTCCGCAACGTGGTGACGTCATTCAGGGCGACTGGAATCGATGAGGGAATCGTTTGCCAAAATGGCAAACAATTCCAAGGTATTGAAACAATGGGAACCGGTTCTCAACAAGAACTGGTTTTCGGTACCCATCCCTACCAGTGCGCCACAGAAATTTGTCTAACCACTCCTGCAGCATTGTTATTTGATACCTTCCGTCTGTTCTAAACAGACGTCTTTTTGTTAAAATAGGACTCTTTCCTTGTTGTCATCCACGAAACTCTTCCAGAAGCCTCATAACCATAAGCTTATGAAGCTCACTGCCATAAATCATAAATTAGCTCCACGGATTTGACAAGGACAAAATTTATCCTAGACGCTCGATTTAGTTAGTCTCCCATAATAACCTCTGACCCTTTTCGCCTTGAAAATCTTATCGAGGCCCCCTGGTAACAAAATAGGTGTAGCATTGTGCTTAATTTTTACTGCACTGCATTTGAGTTGCAGAATAGATTTGATCTTTACCTGTATTTATTGACTGTAAGGCTTCCATTTCCACTTCATTTAACTATTTTGATAAGGAGGAAGTAAAAACGTCAATTTATGCTGCCCTTTGTCCTGGTAATTGGGACACGGAGAGCGATTGTCTCCCATAAATTCTCTAGCGTGCTGCTGATGTTTGGAGTTCTTTCTTTTGAGTTTGCAGCCAAGAGGAGCTCGTACTGGTCAAAGTTAAGTGTTGGTTAATTTCAGAGAATTGCTAAATGTATAAATCCACAGAAGAGCAGCTGAAAAGACAGTAGTTTGACTCTAATGTGGACCAAAGTAACAAATTACCAATCTCTGTGTTTGCAGCTTTGTACTGGTTTAACTATGAAATGGTGAAGGCCCGGCTTTGTGAACAGTCTGAAGTTCCTCAGGCCAACTTCTCTATCAGCTTTACTGCAGGAGCTGTTTCTGGAGCAGTGAGTACTCTGCACACCTGCCCTTTGTTACAGTTGTTAAGCATGTTAAATGTTAGGATATCTGACACCTGTACTGATATCACTGAAGCAGAGTTAGTTTCTGCTTGAACCCAAATGATAATAAACTTTAAAAAATGTGCCGCTATGGAAAACAGTGCTTTCTTTTGCTCACCTACTGCGATTACCGTGCTCATAAATGTATGTGAATGACTTTATAACACTAAAGCACCTGATACCAAAGTCTGAGAGACTGCATTGGATAACTTGGGGGAATCAGGCCAGTGTCGGTCACACATTCACACCATGATGTTACTCGAGCAATAATTACCCAACTTGTGATGTAAATAGTTTCCTTTCAAGTGCAGCTAACATCTACTGCAATTCATGAAAAAAGAACTTTTAATCATGGTGGAAATCCACGTAACATACACTAATGTCTGCAATACTGCACTGTTGTTTTTTCTTTATGGACTGATCTTTGTGCAGAAACATTAAGAGTCTGAAACTCTACAGATCCATTGTTTAAGGGAATAAAAATAAAAGTCGAACTTTGCTGCCTGTAAAACATTCATGCAGATGTGTATCTAACTTCAATAACTCCTTTTGTGATGGCTCTTACTGCCCAGTAAACCAATCATTGCTGAGTACATGTTTCCTGTGTAGCCCTGAACTAAACTGGCACTTAGTCATATTGCATATAGCACAGTTTATGACTCTTTCCGTCTGCTGTGTTTAGATCGCTGCAATCCTGACGCTGCCCTTCGATGTTGTGAAGACTCGCAGACAGATCCAGTTGGGAGAGATGGACACTTTGGGAGGTCTGCGCATGACATACATTCATGATGTAGGCACTTATGTTGTGTGAAATTTACATACTGATGTTCTTCTTATGCCCTCTAGTTTCTGTGAAGAGAACGTCATCCACCTGGCACATCATGAAGGAAATACGGGCCAAGTTGGGCTACAGGGGCCTTTTTGCAGGTACATATTTATCCGATTGTATGCCAATTGAAACGTACAATGTGTGCTTTGCTTAAAAATAACATGTTTATTTTCCCCAGGTTTCATGCCCAGGGTGATCAAAGTGGCCCCAGCCTGCGCTATTATGATAAGCAGCTATGAGTTTGGAAAGGCCTTCTTCCAAAAGATGAACCTTGATCGAGAGCAGCTGGCATTGTGAAGGCTGTCACTGTGCCGCTGGTTGTTTGTCACAGCAAAACATGCAGAGAATAATCCAGGACAGGTTTGAAGAGTCAGCCCATTTGTGGAGATTTCTTTTTTCGCAGATCCACCCACCTCACCACCTACCCCGCATCCCTGGACACAATAAGGAGCCTGAATCCCAGGCAGAGATTTTCTGGGACCACAAACTTTGTGTGATTAATGGAGTAAAGTTTAAAGATAGAAACGTTGTTTAGTGGTTATGTAAAGGAACATGCACCAAATCATTGTAGTTTTATTGTGCTCTCATTTTTCCAATGAAACGGAGGAAATGGGGAGTAAATCTCAGTGAAGACCCTGAACCTGCTCACCTGCTATCCAGGACAGTGGGGGAGGGAAACCTTAATGACTGCATCATTATCGGGTGAAAGAAAAATATTCCTTTTCCTGCACTTTGGATTGTGTGACAGACTGCATGGTGTCTCCAGGCCTGAAGACTTCCTGTCAATGTAAAGCATGACAATTTTGACATTTATCTGCTGTGTAGATGAGTAAATGATATGGTTCGTATGCTGGATAGATTCGGAGCACTCTTACGTTTGCAAAACAAGTGCTGTGAAATGAAATCATAAAAAAAGCAACTTAAGCTTTTTAAAAAAAAATGTTTGTAAATGAGGAAAGCCATACTTTGAGTTCTCAAGGATAACCTTACATTAGTTTGGCTAGATTGAAGCAAGCCTTATTGGAATAAATAATACAATTATTCCAATTACGTGACACAATCTTCTGTGAAAACCACTGCAGCAAACTTTTCAAAAGTCACAGATGTCTCCAAGAAATGTTGGGAGACTTGTTACAAAAAGCAATAACAAAAAGGAGAAAATCTCTTCTGGTCATAAAAGTTTTGGACTTCTTATCTGCAACGAGCAAAAACACTGGGTCATGAAACAAAATATTTCTGCCTTAAATTGCAAGCTAAATGTGATTGTGTGTCCTTTGTGCGTTTTCTTTTTTGTATGTGCGAAATCTGAAGGTGGCTTCATCTTTATGCAATGAGTGACTTATTTCCTATGACTAGTGGTAAATGACCACTATTTAATAAAATTTCACTTATGCGTTAAGTTATGTTGGCTCACTATTTATTAGATTACCCAATGGGCACACACATTGATTTGGGATAAAAGTAATTTTCCTTTTAAATCACCAAACAGAAAGTTTGAAATCTTTGGCTGATTATCTGGATGCTCTCATCCTGTCCCTAGCATCTGTTACGCCAGTCCTCTGCATGTCCTCATATTTCCATGAACCTCCAAGGTTTTGCTCTTTTCCTGGCAGCTCCATTTTCAGGATCCTTTGTCCAGTATCTACTATCCCTCCTCTGTAAATGTCCAAAGCACCTCAAACCATTTGACCTGAGCTCTCCCTCTGATGTACTCATTTCTAATCTTCATTCGCGCTTTGAGTACTCCGGGAGAGTAGAAAAGCGCTATATAAGAATCAGTCCATTTACCATTTACCATTCTGGTCACTGCTGATGAAAATCATAAAGTCTTCTACTCTGCTGCCTGACATTTTATTAGTGCCACCATCTCCAAACCATCACAGAAGCTCTCACAACCATCTAGTAAACCTTCGCTTACACTTTTGTTTGACTGCTCCACCCACTCCAGCAATGGTACCATTCATCTCCATTCCTCAGGCACCTCGGTCTGTCTTCTTTCGCTCATTTTCTTCATTCGCCAGCTCCTCCAAAATACTCTTTCCATCTTTTCAAGACACTCCGCACTTTTTAGTGCATTTCCATCTCCTTAGCCTATCCTGCCGTCCAGCTTTTCCAACTTGAGCTTTCTTGTCAGCCTTCCTGTTTCCTCTTAGCCAGTCAGTAGAAGTCCTTTTAATTTTCCTTAGTTTCCACCCTCACATCCAACTCTCTATAAGCCTTTTCCTCTGCCGCCTCTCTCTATTTGTATGCAACTAGCCTCCCAGTACTCCTGTTTACTTTCTGCATTTTACTATCCGCCTTAGAATATTTACTTGTACTTCCTCATTAAACCACAAATTTTACCTCACCACATTAGCAGCAAACATAAGGACTAAATGCTTATTTCTACTTGTATAAATATTAATAAGTCCTAATGCTGGTAAATAGCGGAATAATGACCAGTATAACATAAAAGATTGTTCATACTGTGTATGAGCGTAACGCAAAATTTGTGAAAGCAAACAGCGACATCTAGTGGTTTATTTATTTTACTACAGATACTCGTTACCAACCAGGGGTGGAGCTTCTTGGAGGATTTTCACGCTGACTCTCGCGATATTTGCTCTGCTATATAGAGGCGGTTTGCCCGTCACCGGGCCTCTTTCAATCGGATCGGAGACGAAATGGTGAGCAATCCTCTTTTGCTGCTTGTACTCTGAGCACCAATCCATTTTCTATCTGATGCATCCCACCTATTTGACACGTATAAGAAACGCAGTTTGATTTTAGCATATATTTTATGACAGTCTTGTGTAAATTTCACTACTATTTTCATCCCAAATATAACATTTCGGTATGCGTGTTGAGCGACTCTGGAGCCAAAATGGCTGCTTTAATTAGGCCGCTCTCCACGTTTTAAAGTACTTAATTAGCCTCTTACCGCCTCAGTCTCCAGTAACTTATTTTATTACAGTTGTGGATAAAATTGATTGTCTTAAAGCTAGTGTTCCTATTGTGTGGACTCAGTTTTGACAGCCGCACGGTGCGAAATGCTAAAGGCGGTTAGCTAAGCTAGCACGTCGAATCTAGCGTGGTAAATGAGAGTCCACGCTGGTTTAGGTGGAAAATTTATCTTACAGGTGCTAGGAACCGTGTCTATAACGGACACTTCTTGGATACACAAGAATAATTTTTTTTTTCTTCACTCTTGGCAGTCCCACCGTAAGTTTTCGGCTCCGCGACACGGATCCCTGGGCTTTCTGCCCCGCAAGAGGAGCCGTCGTCACCGCGGTAAGGTCAAGAGCTTCCCCAAGGATGACCCCAGCAAGCCCGTTCACCTGACTGCCTTCCTCGGCTACAAAGCCGGCATGACTCACATCGTCCGGGAGGTGGACAGACCTGGCTCAAGTAAGTGCAACTGGACTGTAAATTTAATACAGCAAAACCCTCGAATTTAAAAAGAGAAGTCATAGTTGGTGATCGGACCTTTTTCACAGCAGCAACTTTAGCTTCTGTCTGCAAGAGAAGCAAGCGTAATAAATGCATGACGATGCATCTTAACTTGATCATTGTTGCTGATGGTGGTAAAGTTAATGAAAGCTACCAATCGCCTCCTTTTTCAGCATTAGTGTTAAAGTTTGGAATTAAAAAGAAAAACGCAGTTTTAAATTATTTCCTGAAAGTTTGACAGCCAGAGAAAAAAATAAGTGACTGCCACTAATGGCAGAGTAAGCACTATTTGGCAGGGTCTGTTGAAATGTCACTGTAATAATACTTATAACAAAGAAAATGTAATTAATGATAGTAATTGCATAGATGGTCATTTATATCTATGGGGAAGTGAGTATTTAATACCTTTCTAGGGGATCTTGCAATATACAGATGACTTTAAAACTAAAAGCCTGAATAAGTTTATTCGGCCGTCATTCTCATTTTAATTTATTTTTTTGTAAAACAAGCCTCGTCTGCAGTGAAAAAGGTCTAGGGTTAGTTATGGTGTTCTGCCTGTGATGAGTCCCTCGACGGGCGGACAGAATGGGTCTATAGCCCCTTGCTGAATGTCGAGCACTGAGCGCAGTTTCTACCATGAGTAAACAAATCTAATGAGGAGTTGAAGTTACTGGTTATATCAATTTAGTCAAAATTAATCGCCGCTTTCTCTTACAGAGGTGAACAAGAAGGAAGTGGTTGAGGCAGTGACCATTGTGGAGACTCCTCCCATGATCGTGGTTGGTGTCGTGGGTTACGTCAACACACCACGTGGTCTGCGCTCCTTCAAGACAGTCTTCGCTGAGCACATGAGTGATGAGTGCAAGCGTCGCTTCTACAAGAACTGGTGAGTCTTGGGGACAAAATGAAACTCATCCCGTTGCAATGAAAAAGTGCTTGAAGCAGATGTTAGTTGCTGGTGGAAATGTTAGGAACTGCATTTTCACTGAGCGAATCTAACATCACGGTGGCCCTCTGTGGCAGCTCCGCTCAGGTGCCCCGTGCCCTGATGAGCTCCGGGCTCCTCTGGCCAGTGGAAAGTGCTTCTTAGAAACTGCGCCATGAGCCGAAATCCTCACTAGCTGATACAGCCCTTCTGTCCACACGGAGGGAGGGCAAGCAGCTACGCACTGTGTTCTTCCGCTGCCCCTCATGGGGGGTTATGAAGGACCTGTGCCAACCTATGTGTTGCTTCATGCTCTCAGGTACAAGTCCAAGAAGAAGGCTTTCACTAAATACTGCAAGAAATGGCAGGATGAGGAGGGCAAGAAGCAGCTGGAGAAAGACTTTGCTGCCATGAAGAAATACTGCCAGGTCATCCGTGTCATTTGCCACACACAGGTTGGTTTATTCCCTCGATTTTCTGTTGATTTTCTTGAATGTCTGTCAGTGAAGAGACCACGGAACTCGCGTCAGGCATGGCGCCCGAAACCTATGAGGATATCTTCCATGCTGCCTTCCTTCTGAGACTACATAGCTAAAATTATGCAGTGCTCAAAAGCACACCGATAGTTTCTGTCCTAACCAGGCGTTGTTCTTTGCAGATGCGTATGCTGCCCCTGAGGCAGAAGAAAGCTCATCTCATGGAGGTGCAGGTGAACGGAGGCACCATCTCTGATAAGGTGGACTGGGCCCGTGAGAAGCTGGAGCAGGCTGTGGTTGTCAACACAGTCTTCACCCAGGACGAGATGATCGACATCATTGGTGTCACTAAGGGTCACGGATACAAGGGTAAGATACTCGAGCGTCTTTCACAGCATCAGCTGCTGGTTGAACCTGAATTTATCGTGACGCTGACCAAATGTCTCGACTCTTAGGTGTCACCAGCCGTTGGCACACAAAGAAGCTGCCTCGCAAAACCCATCGTGGTCTACGTAAGGTGGCCTGTATCGGTGCCTGGCATCCTGCCCGTGTGGCCTTCTCCGTGGCCCGTGCTGGTCAGAAGGGCTACCACCACCGCACAGAGATCAACAAGAAGATCTACAAGATTGGTCAGGGCTACCACCAGAAGGACGGAAAGGTGGTGAAGAACAACGCCTCCACAGAGTACGATCTGTCCAACAAGAGCATCAACCCCATGGTAGGATCTTTGACACATCTGTACTTTGTGTGTCAGCACTCCAGCCTGGAAGCTGTGATTGACCTTGTGTTTTAATTACAGGGTGGATTTGTCCATTACGGAGAAGTGAGGAATGACTTTGTCATGTTGAAGGGCTGCGTTGTGGGGACCAAGAAGAGGGTGCTGACTCTGCGCAAGGTGAGACTAAAGTGAAGCAATTAGTTGTGGCAATTGGCCAGTTTCATACTGGAATGATTTTTCTTTTCTTAGACAAAGTCAGGTAAGCAACATCTGGGATATAAAGACTTGATTCTTGTTCTCTCTCCCTCCAGTCTCTGCTGGTGCAGACAAGCCGTCGTGCCCTGGAGAAGATCGACCTCAAGTTTATCGACACCACCTCCAAGTTCGGTCATGGTCGCTTCCAGACCATGGAGGAAAAGAAAATTTTCATGGTAAGACTTTGTTCTAAAATGGCTAGTTTCAGACGGGTTAAGCAGACGACAGGCCCAGGATAAGACGTGAGGATGATTTTGATCTGAGCCATGCAAAGCTACTCTAGAATTAATGAATAAAGTAGTGAAGCTGGAAATGAGCCCAATAAGTTTAAAGACTGACTCCTGAAAGTAAAAAGCTTCGTAACACGGCAGTTATTAGTTTTGAGTTGTCCTGCACTGTTCGTAACCTGGTTCAGTCTTCAGTATGAACTCTGGGTTCCATTCCAGTGCCACAGTGAGCTCCAGTGAGGCAGGGGAGCAGTGCCTCTCTGTGCTGGCTCCCTGTTCACTCTCTGGGAACACGTCTGCATCGAGCCAACAGGAAGACCACTAAGTATTGTCACATGATTGATGGTTCTGTTTCTCTCTTCCACAGGGACCC